GCCCTCTAGTGTCAGGTGTAGATTAAACCAGTGCCCTCTAGTGTCAGGTGTAGAGTTAAACCAGTGCCCTCTAGTGTCAGGTGTAGAGTTAAACCAGTGCCCTCTAGTGTCAGGTGTAGAGTTAAACCAGTGCCCTCTAGTGTCAGGTGTAGAGTTAAACCAGTGCCCTCTAGTGTCAGGTGTAGAGTTAAACCAGTGCCCTCTAGTGTCAGGTGTAGAGTTAAACAGTGCCCTCTAGTGTCAGGTGTAGAGTTAAACCAGTGCCCTCTAGTGTCAGGTGTAGAGTTAAACAGTGCCCTCTAGTGTCAGGTGTAGAGTTAAACCAGTGCCTCTAGTGTCAGGTGTAGAGTTAAACCAGTGCCCTCTAGTGTCAGGTGTAGAGTTAAACCAGTGCCCTCTAGTGTCAGGTGTAGAGTTAAACCAGTGCCCTCTAGTGTCAGGTGTAGAATTAAACCAGTGCCCTCTAGTGTCAGGTGTAGAGTTAAACCAGTGTCCTCTAGTGTCAGGTGTAGAGTTAAACCAGTGCCCTCTAGTGTCAGGTGTAGAGTTAAACCAGTGCCCTCTAGTGTCAGGTGTAGAGTTAAACCAGTGCCCTCTAGTGTCAGGTGTAGAGTTAAACCAGTGCCCTCTAGTGTCAGGTGTAGAGTTAAACCAGTGCCCTCTAGTGTCAGGTGTAGAGTTAAACCAGTGCCCTCTAGTGTCAGGTGTAGAGTTAAACCAGTGCCCTCTAGTGTCAGGTGTAGAGTTAAACCAGTGCCTTCTAGTGTCAGGTGTAGAGTTAAACCAGTGCCCTCTAGTGTCAGGTGTAGAGTTAAACCAGTGCCTCTCTAGTGTCAGGTGTAGAGTTAAACCAGTGCCCTCTAGTGTCAGGTGTAGAGTTAAACCAGTGCCCTCTAGTGTCAGGTGTAGAGTTAAACCAGTGCCCTCTAGTGTCAGGTGTAGAATTAAACCAGTGCCTCTAGTAGTCAGGTGTAGAGTTAAACCAGTGCCCTCTAGTGTCGGTGTAGAGTTAAACCAGTGCCCTCTAGTGTCAGGTGTAGAGTTAAACCAGTGCCCTCTAGTGTCAGGTGTAGAGTTAAACCAGTGCTCTCTAGTGTCAGGTGTAGAGTTAAACCAGTGCCCTCTAGTGTCAGGTGTAGAGTTAAACCAGTGCCCTCTAGTGTCAGGTGTAGAGTTAAACCAGTGCCCTCTAGTGTCAGGTGTAGAGATAAACTAGTGCCCTCTAGTGTCAGGTGTAGAGTTAAACCAGTGCCCTCTAGTGTCAGGTGTAGTTAAACCAGTGCCCTCTAGTGTTAAGTGTAGAGTTAAACCAGTGCCCTCTAGTGTCACGTGTAGAGTTAAATCAGTGCCCTCTAGTGTCAGGTGTAGAGTTAAACCAGTGCCCTCTAGTGTCACGTGTAGAATTAAATCAGTGCCCTCTAGTGTCAGGTGTAGAGTTAAACCAGTGCTCTCTAGTGTCAGGTGTAGAGTTAAACCAGTGCCCTCTAGTGTCACGTGTAGAGTTAAACCAGTGCCCTCTAGTGTCAGGAGTAGAGTTAAACAAGTGCCCTCTAGTGTCAGGTGTAGAGTTAAACCAGTGCCTTCTAGTGTCAGGTGTAGATTTAAACCAGTGCCCTCTAGTGTCAGGTGTAGAGTTAAACCAGTGCCTTCTAGTGTCAGGTGTAGAGTTAAACCAGTGCCCTCTAGTGTCAGGTGTAGAGTTAAACCAGTGCCCTCTAGTGTCGAGTTTTAACCTTGACTCGACTTAATTTACATTAATATTTCGCGTTATTATTCGTGTGGATTATTTTTTTCCCTCCGCATCACTTTCTGGGTCAACTTGATGACCAGAAACACCGCGTCATGACCAAGGGCAGAGACAGAGACAGAGAGACAGAGACAGAGAGACAGAGAGACAGAGAGAGGGCTTTTAGTCTAATTAACGTTTATATCAAATATATCTTCTTTGAAAGAGTATTAATTATTATTATTATAATTATTTTGACTAATAGTTGTATTAGTAATATTTTAATTTTATTATTATTATTATTATTATTATTATTATTATTATTATTATTATTATTATTATATGGAGTTTTACCAACGAGTGGGTGTCAGTGCCTTGACGCAGTGTGTAAACGCCCTACATAAATGGCCCTCACTTCTCCGTAAGTATTAAAAGGCAAATCCCGTTGAGAGTAAGAGTCAAAGGGATGGTCAGCAACTTGTCATCACTACTGCTGCTTCAGCACTCTCCTGGCATGACAGTTTTGCTGGGAACAGCAGCAGCACTCTACTGCTGTCTCTTCTGGCTGTTTGGTTACTGTTTACGGAAGGTCTGTCTGTCTGTCGTCTGTGTGTCTATCTGTCTGTTTGTCTGTCTGTCTGCAATTGTTTCTCCTTCTGAAGATCTCCACCTTAGCAAAGTAAGTCATTGGTCGAAGCTGAAATATTCCCTGTTAAAGAACTAAAAGGAAGAATATCGTAACTGGAACGATGCACAAACAACCCGCACATAGGAGAGAGGAGCTTACGACGACGTTCCAGTCCGTGTGACTAGTTAATGGTTCAAGTCGGACCGAAACGTCGTGATAAGTTTCTCTCTCCTATACACGGGATGAAGCCAAAATTAGTTGTGCTCTTGCTCTGGGCACAGCTGTTGCCTTGAAGCAAAACTAAAGTCAATAGGACTCTCTTCCCCCCACTTCAGCAGCTGCTCTAACAGTTCTTAATGCAGGATACATCTGTTGGTTCATGGGGTTTAAAGCTTATCGTCTACACGAAGGTCATTAAGGCCACGATAAGGATTAAAGAAAACTCTCATTATATATACGCTGAGAGATATACACCCCTCGAAGTATATACTGTACGTTTGTAGGTGTTAGAGTACCCGTGCTGTGTATGACTTCTCACCATTCTTACACAGGTGATTGCATTTTAAGAGAGGCTTTTATAAGAGGTATGCCTGCCTTATTAAGACATATCAGTCAATCAATTTTAATTTTGAACGGGGTGGAGGGGTAAGCCGATGGAAGGCCTCGGTCAGGTGACCAAAAGTTCCAGCTGCGACTGATCATCATGTGGCTAAGACCCGCATTAAGAAACACTTGTCCTGTTTTCTGACAAACTTTACCTAATCTAACCTTAACTAGCCTCTTACCTAACCTAATCTAACCTTCCCTTACCTTACCTTACCTTACCTAACTTAACCTAACCTAACCTTACCTTACCTAACATAACCTTACCTAACCTAACCTAACCTAACCTTACCTAGCCTAACCTATCCTAACCTAACTTTGCCTAACCTAACCTAACCTAACCTAACCTTATCTAACATAACCTTACCTAACATAACCTTACCTAACATAACCTAACGTAACCTAACCTAACCTTACCTTACCTAACATAACCTTACCTAACCTAACCTAACCTAACTCAACCTTACCTAACCTAACCTAACCTAACCTAACCAAACCTAAGCTAACCTAATCTATTCAAGAGAAATGGGTGAACAAATCCGTAGAAATCCTGATGAGGATCTAACTTAGACTAAACGGTAAACAGTCACAGCAGATGATTATTGTTTGATAGGAAACTGCGAAGAGTGACGAGAGGTAAAAAAAAAATTCCTCACGAGAAAATATCAACAGTGGGGTTCCCCAAGGATCGGTGCGTCATCCCACCAAGTTTCTAATTTATATGTGTTTGCAAACTAAATATACAGGATTGTATGGACACATATCAGGGGGATTCCTCAATGAAAGTTGTTAGAAGACGTAGTCTGCAGCCATTAAAGTTGTTAGAAGACGTAGTCTGCAGCCATTAAAGTTGTTAGAAGACGTAGTCTGCAGCCATTAAAGTTGTTAGAAGACGTAGTCTGCAGCCATTAAAGGGCGTAGTGATGGTGAACTAGAGAAGTGAAACAGAATGGAAAAAATCAATACAAGTACAGTATAATGCGATTCCTTAATGCCAACGTTTCGCCCACATAGTGGTCTTTATCATGTCTCAAACAGATCTACCTAGGTAACGAGTACCTGAGTACATATAGAGGCAGGTGGAGTACTCATGGACTCATGACTTGACAAAGCTCACTGTGTGGGCGAAACGTGGTCAATAAACGATCGCATAATACTGCATTTGCATCTATTTTTCCATCGTGTCGATATTTTATACCATTTATCTCCAAGTTGAGCAGAAGTTGAACAGATTAGAGACATAACACAGAAGAGGTGGATACCCGTGATGGTTCCACAAAAATGCATCATCACTGGAGATGCAGACAGCCAAAAGGAAAGTAATAATGGTAGAATTACCCACAAAATGGTAGGTAAATGGACACAAATACAACTAATGTGACATTTTATTGTGGTGGCTTTACGTTCTCCAGGAACTTCGTCAAGCCGTTATAACTACTACTACTACTACCACTACTACTACTACTACTACTACTATTACTACTACTACTACTACTACTACTACTACTACTACTACTACTACTACTACTACTACTACTACTACTACTACTACTACCACTGCTGCTGCTGCTACTACTACTACTACTACTATTGCTGCTACTACTAATTCTACCATTACTACAGTACTTCTACTACTACTAGCACTACTACTACTAGCTCTACTTGTTTTTGACAAAGCTCCTGGAGAGCGAAACGTTGCCACAGTAAAATGTCACATTAGTTGCATCTGGGTTTATTTACCAACAGCCAACAGGAAGTCGTAAAGTACGCCCAAGATTCGAAGCTCAGAATCCGTCAACTCAGGCAGATAATTAGACACTCCTGTACACGACCTTCAGGTGTGTAGCGGTGTCTGAGGTGAAGGGGGAGATAGGGTGAGGAGGGGGTGGATGGGTGGAGCAATGGGTACATTGGAGAGAGTGGATGAGGGATTGTCAGGGATGTGAGAGAGAATGGAGCGGGGAGAGAGAGAGAGAGAGTAGGGGGTGCAAGAGAGGGGATGCTTGGGGAGGGGTAGGATACCAGACTATAAATACTGACCTCACTGATTCCTTCAGCATCAGTCCCCCGACATCGATCGCTTAAGAAACATCTTCAAAGGTAAATATTGAGTCTCACAACTTCTCATTCACCAGCGGAACGTGAGAGGCGAAACTCCTGCAAGCATTGCATGCATCTTGCATCAAGACACAGGAAAACAGACAATATTGGGCCACCCGTTGTTTAACAGCAAAAACACTTTGCATTAACTTAGGCTTGCGTTTAAAAAAAAATATAATTAATAACCTAAAGTATTTTTTTTTTATTTTTTAATAACATCAGCATCGATTTAGAGGATTTTATTGTTTGATATGTAAAATATGAGAGGGCTGTTTTAGCACATTTCGTAACTAATTTACAATTTGAAGAGTCTAGACAATGTTTTGCTCCTTCCTGGAACATTGACAAATAGCTAGGGAATTAGTCGTCAATAATAACCTCAAGAATAATCCCCTTTGGGACCCTCTTCTGCTAAAGAGGATCCCAGAAGGGATCTTCATGTTGGTTATCACTGAGCAGTGACAAGTGTTCATTACACTTTAGTTATCCAGAGGATTAGTTTTGAAGTTATCAAGGCGAACCACCGTGATTATCAACCCTCTCAACTCTCTAATTCCTTTCTTCCCAGATGCAGTCTTCAGGTTTGTGTGTGGTGGTAGTGTTGGCTGTGGTTGCAGCGGTGGTGGTGGCTGACCCTAGCTACCCTCAACCAGCTCCCTGTTACCCCAAGACCCAGTACGTCACCAAGTACCAGACACAGGTCCAACAGGTCAGTACTGAACCAACTGAACGGGTCCATATCGCAGCTACGATCGTGTATAGGAGAATAAAAGCCACAACATCATGGCTGAAACGATTCATATCTAACTAACACGTTTCGGTTTGTCTTGGACTATGGTAGAAGGACTGAAACTGCGACTGATGTTTCCTCTTTGAACTGTGGGTAGTTGAGAGTTGTGATTGTACAATTTTAATAATGTTTGTGTCGATCTTTCACGGTGTTTTTATTTTTCCAGGTTCCTGTGTACACCACTGTCTACAAGACCCAGGTCGTTCCCACCACGTTCTACCAGACCCAGTACCAGACTCAGTACGTGACCAAGTACCAGACCCAGTACGTTCCCGAGTACATCACCGAGACGGCCTACAAAACCCAAGTCCAATACGTGACCCAGTACCAAACCAAGTACCAGACAGTGTACCAAACCCAGTACATCACTCAGACCCAGTACGTGCCTGAGTACGTCACAGAGACACAATACCAGACCCAATACGTAACCCAGGTTCAGTACCAGACCGTGTACAAGACCGAATACAAGCCCCAGTACGTGACCACAACCCAGGTCCAGTACAAGACCCAGTACGAGACTCAAGTGGTCCCACAATACGTGACCGTGACACACACACAACAGACCTACAAGACAGTGTGCCCCAAGCCTGCTTACGGGTACTGAGATCTCCGAATACGAAGTGGATCGACAAGCACCAAATTCCTGAAATCTCTCAAAAATAGGTATTATGCAAATTTATAATATTTGTGAATGATAATTGTGGCATTTCTTCACATTTTATGTAAATCAGGAACCAGCTAATCTATCAGATCCACCCATAAATCCGTTAATCCAATAAAACTGTTCATATGAATTTGGATTTCATTTCATCAAAAGTTCTAGTGCTCGTAGGATATATATACATCGATAGATGCATGTCTCTTTAGTATATATACACTGAGAAGTGTATATATCTTAGTCTATGCAGTTCGAGAGGTGTATATGTTTACCTGGAGAGGTTTTCGGGGGTCAACGCCCCAGCTGCTCGGTCTGAGACCAGGCCTCATAACTTGTGACTATGTTTCGGTCCAACTTGCACCAATAACCAGTCACCCTCGTGTGTCGACTGTCTACAAGCCCAGTTAAAGAAATGACCGTCTTCGTTCGACAGTCTCATAAAGACATCTTCGTTAAATCTCTTCCATTTTGAGACTGTGTGTTGTGACCTGATAAATCCTGACTCCTGACATTAATTTAATCACAGTTAACAATGAATTTACTTTGAAAAAGCAAGGAAAATATTATATATATGCCACAGAGAGGGGAAAAATACAACACTACATATAATACTCAATATAACCACAACACTCGCAACACAACCACAGCACTCGCAATACCACACACTCAACACTCGCAACACTACACACAACATTCACAACACAACCACAACACTAGCAAAACAACCACAATACTCACAATACTACGCACAACACTCACAATACAGCACACGTGTGTTTCTAACATAATAGTGTTAACTAATAATAATTATAACGAATGGTTGGAAATACTGACAGAGAGCCTTTTGCTTTACTATCCTTCACACACACACACACACACACACACACACACATATGGACTCCCTAGTCCTCTACTACAAGTCTTCCCCATGTACTCCCTTGAACACAGACGCAATAATGAGTACAAACAACTATCGCAATGTTTTATGTGTGACCCATGAAGGATTATCTTCAAAACTTCCTATCGATGGTGGAGGCTCAATCCTCCGTCTCCTAATCGCTACCTGGACTCTAACTTATCAGGCTCTTGGTAATAGCATGGGAAAACATGTTGCTGAAAGGAAAATAGAGAAATATGTAAGATGTTTTCGTTATGGGAGGGATAGACGACTACTTGAAGAACAGGTCAGTGTCAGTAACACCTGTGGCGGAGGAAGGGTAAGACACAGTACCATAGCTGGAACAATTCACCAAATAACCCCACCTGTTTCCTGGTCTCTGTTTTGCCTCGCTGAGACGTGACCTGACGCTGCTTCGGAAAGGACCGAAACGTTGCCGTGAGGGTCTACTTAAGACGGATTATTTGTGACTTGTGGGAGGATATACAATGTTAATAAAGTCTGTTACATAATATATTTAACACATAGGTAAATGGGAGATTAACAACTGACAGTCTATCTTGTGTCAGACAGGGGAGTGCTAGTACCTCTATCAATATAAGTTTTTCGAGGCTGTCAGGAAAAAGACAGGAACAGGCTGACATTATTTGTTTAAAGTCGAGAAAATAATGTTAAGTGCTCCACTAAACATCAACTTGGAAATTAACAAAAATGTACTGATAGTACACTAATAATCCGCACGTAGGGGAATGTAAATGACGACGTTTCTGTCCAACTTGAACCATTAACTGGTGATACAGAAAAGTTTCTTTGTGGCTACTTAATGGTCTAAGTCAGACCAAAACGTTGTTATTTTCACTAGTGTTTGTGCGGGTTATTCGTGTATTGTTCCAGTCACAGTATTGTGACTGTGTTCTGCCAGTAGTGACTGTATAGAATGAAGTTGTACTCAAGATTGATGGACTGACCACATCGACTCAAGGTTGAGGGACTGATTACCTCATTCTCCTCCTATTCTTCAAGCTTCTCCTGTGTAGGGACTAATGAAGCCACTGTGTGGCGAAACGTTTCCTTAATAAAGATTCCCAAGAGTTGCACATGTGTCTAATTTATCATAGAATGAAGTGTTTACCCCGAACGATAGATATTATAAACGAAGACACTGATGAGAACTTTCTACTTAACCAGATGCCACATTAGCGAGACCTGGTCATGGACCGGGTCAAGGGGGCGTTGACCCCCCCGGAACACTCTACAGGTATACTCCAGGTGTATCATTAATCGGAAGCTGCAACTTTCTGTAACACTGTTATAATTCACGTAAATTATGAAGAATTCAGAATTGTATAATTACACATAACATATTTGCAGAAAGAAAAGCCGAAAAAACATAAAAAAAAAATTTTACATCACTCACAGAGGTTCTGTGGTACACTGATCCAATAGATAAGTCAATCGATAATTGCTTTAAGTCTGGAAAAAAAATCTCACGTGAGTGAGATGTGTGAAAGTGCTCAGTCTCGTGACAAGTGTAAACTTTGTGACGAAATCTTAACAAGAAAACCAAACTTGGGAAGACAAATAAAATATATATCGAGAAAAAAGGCTACATCAGTTGTTAGAAAGTCGTATCCAACGTTATTTCCCCACATATCCTTTAAGAATATACACTGTGAGATGTATATATATCAGTGTATACACCCTAAGAGCTAACTTTAATCACCATTTTAGCTATTAAAGTTGAAGAATGACACAATTATGCAATATTTGGGAATCTTAATTGAGGAAACGTTTCGCCACAGAGTGGTTTCATCAGTCCGACACCAAGGAGAACGGTGTAAAGAGAGGAGGAGTTTGAGGTAATCAGTCCCCCTCAGCCTGGAATCGATGTGTTCAATGACTGGTGGTCTCCAGGTGACATGCAGGCCTAAAGACTGGTGCAGTTGATCGGTTTTAAACCCTCTTTAACCATTCATCCCACATATCCTTAGGAGGCTGAGTATATGGATAAGAATGTTGGTTTTGATACACAAGGTCGTGTACCAACGAGGTATGGTGACCCAAGAAAATAGAAAATACATTAACCATTATTCATTCGATTGCTCTCCAGACAGAAGTGTGTTGACATCACAGCTCAGATGTCCCTCTGATCTCTAACGTCCCCACTCATCCTTCAGAGTGCAGGTACTGTACATTCCAACCTTCATACAGTCTTCAGGAAGCAGACACCATACTTTCCCACCACCACCCATCCTTCAGAGTGCCGTCACTGTACTTCCCACCACCACCCATCCTTCAGAGAGTACTTCCCACCACTACCCATCCTTCAGAGAGTACTTCCCCCCACTACCCATCCTTCAGAGTGCCGTCACTGTACTTCCCACCACCACCCATCCTTCAGAGAGTACTTCCCACCACTACCCATCCTTCAGAGAGTACTTCCCACCACTACCCATCCTTCAGAGTGCCGTCACTGTACTTCCCACCACCACCCATCCTTCAGAGAGTACTTCCCACCACCACCCATCCTTCAGAGAGTACTTCCCACCACCACCCATCCTTCAGAGAGTACTTCCCACCACCACCCATCCTTCAGAGAGTACTTCCCACCACTACCCATCCTTCAGAGAGTACTTCCCACCACCACCCATACTTCAGAGAGTACTTCCCACCACCACCCATCCTTCAGAGAGTACTTCCCACCACCACCCATACTTCAGAGAGTACTTCCCACCACCACCCATCCTTCAGAGTGAACGTCCAGTTCTACACATTTATTTACATCATATACCGAAAATTAGAGTTTCCAGAGTTCATCACATTTAAAAGAAACACTCGAACAAATTAGGAAAAAAAATCATGAGCGTTCATGAATACGGGATCTTGAACGAAGAAATACGAACCACAAAAATACGAACCACAAAAATACGAACCACAAATAGGTGATCTGAAATAGGTAATCAAATACACACAACAGCACACACACACACACACACACACACACACACACACACACACACACACCACACACACACACACACACACACACACACACACACACACACACACACAACCACCACCACCACCACCACCACCACCACCACCACACCACCACCACCGCACCACCACCACCACCACCACCCACCACCACCACCACCACCGCCGCCGCCACCGCCACCACCACCACCACCACCACCGCCACCACCACCACCACCACCACCACCACCACCACCACCACCGCCACCACCACCACCACCACCACCACCACCACCACCACCACCACCCCACCACCACCACCACCGCCACCACCACCACCACCACCACCGCCACCACCACCACCACCACCACCACCACCACCACCACCACCACCACCACCACCACCACCACCACCACCACCACCACCGCCGCCGCCACCGCCACCACCACCACCACCACCACCACCACCACCACCACAACCACCACCACCACCACCACCACCACCACCACCACCACCACCACCAATTTTTCCCACGATTTACAGCCCGGTTATTAAGGCTTTAAAAGTTCTCTTAATTCCGGAAACCTCAAGAAAACAGTCACTACTGAGGCTTTAATTGTAAGGCGGTAAACCCGTGTGGGTTACTCAACGTAAAGTGTAGTAGAGGCTCGATTCTGAGTCCAGTGATAGAGAGATACCAGCAAATTGTGACCCGCACGGGTTTACCGCTATCTTTAATGTTCTTCACTACATGTCACAACGTTTCACTTCAGAACATGTCACGTCACGTCACGCTACAAGCATAGCACTTCAGTGAAGTGACAGTAACATGTGTGCAGTGACATGTTCCGTCACCTCACTGCTTGTCTGCGTTAAAAGGAAAATGGGAAGCGATGTAGAAGATGGGAGATGAAAATATAGAAAATGGGAGAAGTAGAAAAGGGTTGGTTAGTTAATGGGGGGTTAAGGCTTCATGGTAACCCATTCACTGTTTACTTTAATACCTAAAAATAGGGATTAAAGGCTCGGTGTATATACCCTCAGGTATATACGTCTCAGGGTATATATCCTGTATAGAAAATTGGAAGGGAAGAATGAAGATGTAGAAAATGGGGGAATTAAAGTACAGAAAATAGGGATTTAGAAAATGGGTAGGAATGAAAATACAGAAAATGGGATGAAGAAAATGGGAACTAGTGTATAAAATAATGGGTGATATAGAAAATGTAGTGTTAACGTAGAAAATGGGAAT